AGGAAACATCAAAATTTACCACACCTATGTCCGAATTCAGCCAAATATCCCAAACATAGCCCCTAAAATAACAAAACAAGAGGTCTCAAATCAAAACCTCAACCTCCTATTACTCAATAGTCATCAACCTGTCCCAGTAGAGGAGTCAACACCTCGTCCCTAAACATCACTTAACTCTTCTTTTAGATATATTCTCTTCCAGGTTCTCCATTTGCCTCCACAGTCTACTCCAAGACAGCTGGTTACTACCGCCCTCGTACCCACTGGAGGACTGGCCAGAACAAGTCGCCATTCTACATTTACAAGGAACTTTCCTAAAACTCTCACCTTCAGAAATCTTCACCTTCTGCGCCTATCTCTGGACCCTGTTCTGGCTGGTTCTGTACCCTTCCACCACCATTTCCCACAACGCCCCCGGCCAGCAGGAAGCAGCCAGAAAGAATAACGACGCCCCTCCCCCAAAGAAACAGAAAAGGTGGGAATGAAGGGTACAGGAAACAGCCAGAGGGGTGGCTCCCAAAATGGTGCCAAACATGGTAAAGCCACACTAGCCCTAGGTTCCGGCTTCTTCATGCACGATTCCCCTCGCGTGCGAAGTTCAAACCTGCAAACCTCCAATCATTTCCCATGACGTAGCTAGCTTTGTTATACCCACCCTGCTCCCATGTCACTCCTCCAATAAGAACATAGCACAGCCCCTTCCGGCCCCTGCCAAGCCCATAAATACACCCTCTCCCTGCATAACTCTCTCTTGCTCTCTCTCTCTCTTGCTCTCTCTCTCTCCCCGCCCCCACTCTCTCACTCTCTCACTCTCTCTCTTGCTTTTTCTCGGTTACAGACCCTCTCTGTAACAGCCCCTTTAATAAATCTCTTGGTCCCGGCCGGGTGTGGAGTTGTTACTGGTGCCGAAATCCTTTCAAAGAGGATTACCTGAGCTCAGAGGTTCGAGGCCAGCCTGGGCAACTTGGTGAGACCTCGTCTCTACAATAAATCAAAAAATAAGCCAGGCATAGTGTTGCACACCTGTAGTCCTAGCTACTTGGGAGGCTAAGACAGAAGGAGCACCTGAGCCCAGGAGGTCAAAACTCAGGTAGGGGCAGGCATGCCACTGCACTCCAGTGCGGATGACAGAGAGATTGCGACTCAAAAAAAAAATTAAAATTAAAATTAAAAAAAAGTGGCATCATGTATAATTTACACTTAAGTAATTTTAAAATATATATACACACATATATAACACAGTTACCTATATGTTTTATATGTGTGTATATACATTTTTGAATATATATACATAAGGTTTTTGAATATGTATACATATATAACCTATATGTTATATATACACACATACATTTATACATATATAACACGATTTTATATATATATTTTCTTTTTTATTTTGAGTTGGAGTCTCACTCTGTCTCCCAGACTGGAGTGCAGTGGCACGCTCCCAGCCACCTCAGCCTTGAC